CAGGCCTGCAAACACACTAAATGCTGATGGTAGCCCAAGCTCAGCAAGTGGCCATGGACAGGAGGGGTCTGCTCCTGTTTGTGATGCTCCTGCCAGCACAGGCCATGCCCTGCATCCCTGAGCAAAGGTGCAGCAATGCCTTTGAAGAGCGAGGAAAGGCACCAACCTGCAGGCAGGCGCCTGGCTCTGGGATCTAGGTTCAAACTGAACTTCAAACACACATAAAACCATCCCATAAATCACGATATCCTACAAAAGAACCACAGAGCTGATGCTCCCCTCCAGAAAGGCAGGACCACTGCGCCTGCTCCTCAGGGGACTCTTTCACAAGCACGGAGAAGGACGGGGCTGGGCCAGGACAAGCAATTCCCAGTGCAGAAGGGAAGAACTGCAGCCTTTTTTCCCAGAACCCCATAGCCACAGGCAGGGAAAAGACACAAACATTTACTCAAAGCATCTTCCAGGGCTGGTTAAAGGTGGGATCACCTCTAAAGGAGAAACCTCAGACACTGCAGAGCTCCATCTGGATGTGAGCACGCTCTCACCTGCCCCAACCCTCTCCCACTGGAGCACCAGCTCTGTCTTACACACCCCAGGCCAGCACTGGCACAGAAGCAGGTCTCAATCACTTGTTTTTAACAAAGAGAGAGCTCTGCTCCTAGCAAACAGCCATTTGGGGTGCGGTGGGATGCTATCCAAGCTGGATTTTGGGAGCTGACAGATCCCCCCCAAGTGCCAGCAGGGCTTGAGGGACTTTTCTCCTCCAAACCTAGAGATGCAGGAACACTCCAGCATGGGATTAGCACCCCAACCCAGCACTGGGGCACTCCTCATAATCCCACCTCAAGGCACCTTCAAAAGGAGCCTTGAACCCATCACCCCCAGCCCTGTACAGAAGGAAAGGATCAAGGATCGTCTGCAAAAGCAACCACCAAGGCAGCAGCAAAGCCAAGCGAGGGGAGCTCTCCAAGCACAGAGCCCAGCTGTAAGCGCTCACTCTACCTTGCTCCTCCTCAATGCCAAAACCAGAACCTTCTACTCCTCATCCCCTTCCGCAGCAGGAAGCCCAGGAGCTCCGGGCACCCCGTCACCCATCGGAGGGCAGCCCCGCACCGCCCTGCTTCTCTTCCAGGTTGTTTGGGAGTCAGGAAAGCTGCTTGAATGCTGCGGGAACTCGGTGTTCTTGTGACACTCGGCCGGAGGGGCAGGGAGGTGGCCGAGACCGCAGCACCCTCTTCTGTCTACCGCACTCTTCTGCAGGGAGCTTTTGAGTCTCTCTGGCAGTGCACAGCTCCAAGCAGCTCCCTCCAGACGTTACCTTCCCGCTCCCTGCAGCTTGGAAACACTCAGGAAGCTGGAAGGATTCGGGGTTAAAAACAAATCAGCAAGCGTTTAGATGAGTCAGTGGTGTGGTTTTATGAGGACAGACAAGTGCTTCTTGGGAAGCCAGTTTGGAATTGTTTTTGTGGCCCGTCGCTGGGCTGGTAATGCCTGGAAGCTGTGTTCTTGGACCACAGCACTCGAGTGCCAAGAGCTCCTCAAACAATGGGGCTGTGTTTCCTCCTGGACTCTCCTGCAGGCTATGTGCCGTTTTCATGGCTTCCTGCTGGGGAGCTTCTTTCCTTCTGCAACTCCCCCACGCACGTAATTACAGCCCATTTTGGTACCTTATCGTGAGATGCTTCAGAGCTGATTACCCCTGAGCTTCCTTCCTCCCATCATCAACCTCCTCCAATATTGATGTTCGCTGGTGCTAATTCGATGCTATCACGGAGCAGAGGAGCTTTAGGAGGCATTACGGTGACTCCAAGTGCACAATTTGGAGCTGGCAGCAGTGCTGCTGAGAAGAACCAGGGTTTGCTCCTCACATCCAGCTCTTCTCCAAGGAGCAGCCGCTCGCCAGCCACGTGTGAGGTGGAAGGAGGACGGAGCCGTGCAGGCTCTGAGCCAGGGTTATTCCAGTGGCCCTGGATTAAAAGTGGAGCCAAGCGACATGATGCAACCCAGCCCATTAAATAAGCTTCTAAACATACACTGTTTGTAAAGTTACATTTGGAAAGAGAAATAATTACTTCAAAGGACAGGCTGAGAAAGCTGGGCTGGTTCAGCTGGAGGAGGCTCCTTAAGGGGAGACCTTAGAGCAGCTCCAGTGCTTAAAGGGGCTGCAGGAAACCTGGAGAGGGGCTTGGGACAAGGGCCTGTAGGGACAGGCCGAGGGGAATGGCTTTAACCTGCCAGAGGAGAGACTGAGATGAGCTCTTAGGCAGAAGCTCTTCCCTGTGAGGGTGCTGAGGCACTGGCACAGGGTGCCCAGAGAAGCTGTGGCTGCCCCATCCCTGGCAGTGCTCTGTTTTCAGGCTTAAAGTGATGCACAAATTTAAGTTTTGGAATACCAAAAGCTTATTATATGGTACCTGGTGCAGCCTCTGTGGCAGGATTAATGTATCACCATCCCAGCCACCTTGGTCCCTGAGAAACAATTACAGCCAAACCTTTCCTTTTCTCTCTTTCCATCAGAAAAGCAGTAGAGGGGCCAACAGTCCCACATGAGTGAGGGAACATCGCTTTGCTCCATGGAATAAGCAATTCAGCTCTTGTGGGGCCTTAAATAGAACAACCAGATCCTCAAACGGGTGATGAAAACAAACCAACATGATAAAACCCAACCAATACATCTGATATCCCAACTTATTTAATCAAGAGACTGCCCAAAGAAGCAAGAGAGATTTAATCCAAAGCAGCTGCCCCGACTTGAAGACACAAGTGATTTTAGGAGCTTGCCTACCAGTGAAGTTTAGGAATGCTGCATTCCTACAGCCCAGCCCCAAACCCCTCACTAGAGCTATGTGAGCTGCAGGACCACACATCACTTATAGAGGAGCCCACCTTGTTCCAACACAGCTGGAACATCCCAGAACACACAAACATCTATCACGGATCCATAGTGAAATATCACCCTGAGGACATTTCTCCCCCTTCTCTCCTCAGGGCAGGGCCTGAGGCAGAAACCCACCAGATTTCCCTTTACAGTTACTGTGAAAAACGTTTATTTGTGATACACATCATCGCTGTTTCAAACTACAAAACCCAAATCACTGACACAAGGGCAGGGGCAGGTTTCAGCCCTGCCAGTGACCCCAGCTATACAGAACGCCCTCTCTATGAGCTGGCCCTGCTCCCACCAGCTCTTTATTCCATCTGAAGCACCAGAACCGTTGTTCTAAGTGAAGAACAACACATCCTAGTTAGAAACGCTTTGCAGCAGGGTGATATTGTCCCCTTTCAACATGATCCGACCTGCAACACAGAGAAAGGAAATTAGACACTCTGCCAATAACCTCATACCTTCCAAAAACCATTTCACACCAGCCAAGGTGACTGCGAGAGGTCACCTCCACGACAAAGAGACCGGGTTCTGATCAGAAACAGAGCCCCACACGGCTGCACTGCTGGGTGTGAGCAACCCCACAGACCCAATTCACACTGTAGCACATCAGACACAACCTCCCCTCCTGCACCGGGTGTCTGAGCAGCAGCTTTGTCCCCACCAAGAGCCTGGACTTGCTGCTCATCCTATACTGCTGCTTGTGCTCGTCAGGGAGGATTAAATACGAGCATCCTGGTGGTTCCCACTTTGATTTGATGACACCACAGCAAGTGCCCCAGGTGCTGGGAGCTGCCTATGCAGCCCCAATGCTGTCACTTTGGAAGACAAAAGCACGCCTGGGACAGAGACAGGTTCTCAACCAAAACCACCAGCCCAGGAACCAAGACCTGGCCACTATCTGCTCCCTGTACCCCAAACTCAACCTCCCAGATGTGTGTTTTGTGCTCTGAAGTGTGGCTGAAGGGAAGCTCAGGCTCCAGGTCACCCCCCACGGGCTTACCCAGCTGCTTCCTGGACTTTGTTTTGGAGTGAATCTCCTCCGCATCGTCCAGCACCAAGTTCATGTATTCATCAAAGCCCTAAAAATGAGGGATAAAACAGGCAGGGAGCTGAGGACCCTGGTCTAAACTTCAACAAGGACACAAACCATTACCTACGCTGACCTGACCACTAAGACTATTCACTGGAGAAACATGAAGCGTTTCTACTCCCCCCCAACACTAGGTTTTCCTGACACTAATAGCTTGGTGAATGTGAAAGACATAACCCCCAATCTACACAAGCCCACGAGGACATCACGATACTCACGATGATGCAGCCTTCTATCCGCATGTTCACCTGCTCATAGAGCCACACCTGGATCCTGGACCTCTGCAAAGTGATGGAGGAGGAAGGGAACAAACGGGACATGAACCCACCCAAGCAGTTCTGCTCTATGCAGTGATTCCACCCACCAACAGCCACCGCAGCACTCGGAGCTGTGTCTCTCACACGGTTTTTAGGGTGTGACACCCGCTTGGAACCACTTTTGCGGGCCCAGCACCGGAGAGCATCATCAGGCCTTGTTCCGCCTTAGCTTTGTGTGAGCCTGAGCCCGGACCGAGCGGCTCTGCTCCCGCCCCCCCAACGGGAGGCCCCGGTTCACCTCAGCACGGACCCCGCTCCCGCCCGTCCCCTCACCCGGTACTCACGTTCTGCAGGTAGCGGAAGATGAGGTTCTGCAGCGGGGCGTTAAGGACTCGGCCCAGCCACGATAACCCCGCTCCCCCCCCCCGCCCTCCCGGTCCTCCCCCCCGGCCGCAGGAAGGATACGATGGGCTGCACCATCACCTTCTGCACCTTCTGGCCCTGCCCGCGGTACGCCATGGCTGCTCCCCGCGCCGCCACACGCTGCCGCCGCCGGAAGGAGCCGCCGCGCAAGGAACTGTGGGATGCTGGAGGACCCGGCCGCTCTAGGAAGGCGGGAGGACTGCTGTCTCTACTGCTCGGGTTAAAGGGGTGGCTCCCTTGTCACCCCCAGATCCCCCTCTATGGCCCCTTATCACCCACACCGACCCACTGCCACCCCCTCCATAGCCTCTTTGGGCCCCATGAGCACTCAGTGACACAGCTTCTATGGCAGGTTTATTAAAAACACTGTTAACTGCTGTTGGCGTGGAACAGTGCAAGTGGGGTGGAGGCAGTGGGTCATTCACTGCCTTAAATACAATACAAATATAAAATGAGAGAATAAAATATTTACACAGAGCATGGTGTACATCAACCCCCACCTCCGGGGCCAGACCCTTCCTCACCCAGCGCTGGTGCTCCTCCTGGCTGCAGCCCCTCCATCCTTCAGTAGGGGAAGGGATGGGTGAACGCTTGCAGAGCTTCAACAGCAGCTTCCTGAAGTTTGGTTTCCAACCTTTTTCCTCCTCTCGGAACGAAGACGTCACAGTGGATTATCAAAGCACACAAGTGTTTTCTTCCAAAGAGAAAGTATTTACAACTGGTTGCAGTGAAAGCCTGAGGGCCCCGACAGCTTCATATGAGAGCAGGAAGAGAGTGAAGTCCTTCAAAAACTTAAGGAAATAACTGAAAACCTATGTGCCAGGGAAAGTGGGCACTGGGGGGCACAGACCCCAGTCTCAGCTATTGTCTTAGGGGTCACAAAGGGAGATTCCAACCCCCTGCCCCGGCTCCTGTTCCTGCATCGACCCGGAGCGCAAGGCTTGGTGGTGGGACAGAGGCTGAGGGAGGATTCCCAGGACATTCCCAGGCAGCAGCAATGTGGTTGGTCCCGCAGCAGTACCAGCTTCCAAGGAAGATGATTCCCTATGGGTTGGTGCCACGACAGTGCTTGAACACGAGTCCAAGCAGCTGCTACTTCCCAGATGATCCAGCAGTTCAGGGGAGTGATTCTTGGAACAGAGAGGCACTTAAACCAATCCTTCCTTCACCAGTTTCCTGTAGAGGAATCCTGACAACCCATCCCAAAATCCTACCAGGATTCACATCAGCAAAATGCATTGTCCCCCCCCAGCTTTGGTACCCTACAACAAAGCAGGAGGGGGCTGTGGAGCCGTGCTGCAGAGCTGCTGCATTTCACACCGGTGTTGTTATCATCCCTGAGGATGGACTGAGCCCAACCACTGCCCCTGGCAGCACATTTGGTCCAAACCACTTCATTATCCTGCTCCCTCCCACCTCGCTATTTGCATTAAGTTACCCTAACAGATTAAAGTCCAAATGATAACATACATAAATAAAACTCAAGAGTTGACATAGTAACTCCAGGCTTTAGATAGCAATTGTCCAAGAAATGAGACTACCAAGGCTTTGAAAGGTGCTGAACGTTGAGGTTTGTCAAAGAAGAGGGAGGAAAGAAGAAAAGAAGAAGCTTTAGGTTTAAGCCTTCAGAGCATCACTGCACCAGTACAGCAGTTCATAACCACCAGAGTCTGCAGCTGGGGAGCTCTCTGTCCCAGAAGAAACAAGTGCTTTGTCCTCCCAACGTCGACAGCGGCCACTGACAGTCACAGAACGGATGCACAGGACCTTGACTCTGACCAGCAGGGAAATGTAGGACAACTGAGTGCAGATACTGCCCATTTCTACCAGTTCAACTGTGCTTTAAGACTCATTGCAAAGCCTCAGCTACAAAAAGGATCATCACCTCTGGGTATCCAGCAGAAAAATAGAGTTTTAATTTCTTACTTTCTTTTTTTTTTTGTGTGTGTGTTTGTTTTAATGTTAAGATCCTGCAGTTCAGCTGTCGATCATCTCTGACAGTTCCAAGAGGAGGTCGTCCTCATCCTTCCCTGGGTCCAGATCAATTTCTGCTTCCAGTTTGCCTCCTGAGATTTCCCAAATCAGCTTCTCAAAGTCATCTTCTACAGACAAAGGTGCTTTCCCAGCCCCGGTGGAGCTCAGCCGTCGCGTCTTCACTGCCACTTGGGACGAAGCTGAAGTTGAGCTTGAGAGCTCTGACTGTGCCCCAGAGCCTGCCTGGCTTCCCATGTGCAGCTCAGGGCTTGAAGAACAAGAGAGAGTGAATCAGTGTATGGCATTACTTAACCAGAGAGGTGGTTTCTGCAAACCAGCTCTTTAAACTTCATTAATCCCTCCTACACCTCAACTTTACACATGGTTACACCATTAATCTAAGGCTACTTTTAGGGCTGACTATATCAGCAGGTACAATCTTTCTGTCTGGGGATCTCTCCATGAAGACAGAACCTGGCAAAGAAAGTTTCATTTTGTGGCCAGAGACCTTTATTAATTTGACTGTAAAAAGGTTAAGAAGTCGACCTCTGGAGGCATTCAGAAACCCCACAAACTCACTGAAAGGCTGTACCAACCTCCAGCATTGGAAGAAAAGAGGCTAGTATTCCTGCTGGCTGCTAGACAACTGTTGCAGATTAATTGCTCCTTTGGACTCCTCATCTCAAACCTCCACTTTTTTCCACATGTGAAAAAAAACCCCTTATGTTTCATGTGAAAGACACAGTGATCAAGAAAAAGAACACGTGGTGGCTGTTACCTGGTTTGGGGTTTTTCTCCCCTAGGTATGGAGCTGAGGCTGTCCTCTGGCAAAGCAGGAACAATGGCCTAGGAAGAAGCAAGACAGTTCTTATGATACACAGGTAAAAGACTTCTTTGTATATTCCTCCTCTGCTCCTTCTCCCTTAGCATTGCTGAACCAAAGCACTCCTGAAGTTAGGATTCACTCAATATACATCATGAACACTTGCACAGGGTGCCCAGAGAAGCTGTGGCTGCCCCATCCCTGGCAGTGTTCGAGGCCAGGTTGGATGCGGCTTGGAGCAAGCTGCTCTAGTGGAAGGTGTCCCTGCCCGTGTCAGGGGATTGGAACTGGATGAGCTTTAAAGCCCCTTCCAACACAAACCACTCCACTATTCTATGATAAACTCAAGTTTACTGATGACTGTGCCTTTAAGAACGCAGCATTAATGGATAAAATCCTTCACAGCACAGAGAATCCCAGCAGAGTATTAATGGAAGCACTGCTATTCACCTAATAAAAAGCAGGATGGCACTACAACCATCTGACAGAGCACTTTGGGATTTCAAAGGGAACAGAGCTGTAAAACACTGCAATTTTCCATCTGTTCTCCGAGAGGAGGGTAAAACTTGGGCATACATTTTACCAGGGACCCACTACTGCTTCAGACACTGTCCTTACCACAGCTGCTTTTCTAGCTGGAGGCTCCTTTGTGTCACCACCAGTGGTACTCAAGGGCTTCACAGCTGCCACGGCAGAGGGATGACTCTCGGTTGCCTTACGCTTCAGGGTATGCTTTGTGGGAGAGGTGGTTTTCTCATCTGGCGCCTTCAGGCATGCCTTGGATTTGGCTAGAGGAAAAAGGAGAACTTAAGTCAGTCTTGCTCTGCCTCTGGAGAAAAAAAAATAACCAAGAGGTTCTCTCCTATCAGTTCCATCATCCTTCTAGTTAAATAGATTTGCCCACTACATTACACTGTCATTGCCAAGATTTCCAGCAGGATCTTCCACAGAGAAAACTCTTGTTTACCAGCAAGCCATAAAAAGGAGCAAAGAAGTTGCAAAAAGGAGTCAGTTACAACAGGAAAACTGCCATCTTTTTTTAAAACAATACCTAAAGGAACTCTTTTTAACACAGTCTCAACACCTACTCTTAGCTTTCCGTTCCTGGAGTGGAGCTGCCTGTTTCCCTGGTGATACAGCAGCTTCTTTCCCTGGGCTTTCAACCCCATCTTCCAGAGGTTTCACCAACGTCTTCTTCACAAAGTGATGCGCTGACCCTGAAGCTTCAGGGCTCCCTGATGGTGGAGTTTTGCCCTTGATGGGTTTTTCAGCAGAAGGTGGCACAGAAGCTGCTTCCTTCTGAAGCTTCTCTTCTTGGTGGTGTTTCAGTTGCCGCTTCTCCCTCATTATCTCTTCAAGGTTCTTCACTTGAACTTTAGAATTAGTTGTGCCCTGATCAGAGAGCTGGAAAGAAACAAAAGCAAAGGATTAATAAGACAAAAAGAAAACCTGAGTGGCAAGCCCTCTGAAATGGCTCCATGTGGAACAGAGCATGTTATGACCATTCAGATCTGACCTTTTTTCCATACTACGTTGCCTGTAACAAGATCCATGCTGCTTTGCTATGGGAATACAAAAGCCTGCAACTTGCAACACAGCGAGCTGCTTTAATAGAGCAGAAGGCTGTAGCTGTAATTTATTATATTCTTTTCAAGTGAGAGAAACTTGAACGAAACCATTTCTTCCACATTAACCTCACAGATTTTATCTGCTCTTAACTGGGTTTCTTATGCACTGTCAGGTGCAAGCACATTAATTCAAAGCTTGAAGATCTCAGTGTTGTCTGGAAACACTATGAAAGCAACAGACGGCTTCATTGCAGCACTTACCAAATGTGGGAAGAGCATGCAGTGAGGTGCAAAGAAAATATAGCAAAACTTACCACAAACGGTATGAATACATGTACGTCTTCACAAAGGACTCACCTCTGCAGGTGCAGAGACAGCTTTGGGAGAAGGCCTGCTCAATTCCACCACCTTCTTTTCTTCTCTTCCAGGTGCTTTAAAACAAGAACAAAACAGTAATGATTTTATCAACAGCAGAAGTAAAGCAGCCTGGTTCCCTTTGCCTCCCTGGTGTGTTTGTTTCCTCCTGGCTAATAATGGGACAAAGGGAGAGGCTACAGCAAACAATCCAAGCAGCACTGGACCTCTCTTTCCTATCATCACATTATCTCTTCACATGGGTTATATCATCTTAACAATGAGATCTTTAATGCTCTGCCATTTTGGACAAAAAACAGCCTGCACATTATGTTGATATGTGTTCACAAACACATGTATCAATCAGGAAGTTAACACATGCCAAAGAGGAAGGTAAATGTGGATTCAGCACAGGGAAGATCCCGTATCACAAACAGACAGCAGAAAAAAAACCAGAAGAGAGGAATTCAACTACAAAGCTCCTCAATAAACGAAGTTTCCAGTGGGAAATCCAGAAAAGTTATGCAATTCATGGGAAATTATATGGTTGGATATTCTGGTACTTTTTTACCTTTGTAGCCTTAACTCTTTTATCCTTTAGTATACACAGAAGGAAAAAGCAACAAGAATCCTGAGCAAACTGGATTTGCTTAACAGGGGAAGCAGGTACCAAACCATTACCTACGAGCTTGGTGATCCGTAACAGTCTCCTCCCTGTTGGGGCAGGTTCGGGTTGTGCTGGTGGAGCTGGCACATTTTCTCCACTCTGCTGCAGCCGCAGAGCTTTCTCCTGCTTGATTTCCTCCAAGGTTTTAATACGCACTTCCCCTGGCTTGGCTTTCCCTGCTGGCTCTGCCAGAGGCACTCTGCTGGGCAGAGATGGAGCCAGCACGCTCTGCTTCCTGGGCTCACCCTCAGCTTTTGTCTTGGGAGGAAGCTCTTCTGGTTTTTGCTTCTCTTCTTCCAATCGCTTCTGGTTTTTTTCAGCCAGGGCTCCTGAAAGAGTTTTGATGCGAACTGCAGGGGAAGGTTTTGCCCCCGAGTTGGGATCTTCTGCTTTACAACGCCCTTCAGCCTGGGCTTTAGCTGGAGGTTCTCCTCGTCGCTGAGAAGCTCTCTCAAGGCGAATTTCTTCCAGTGTTTTCACGTGGAACTCTCCTGTCGGCTTAGCAGCCTTCTCTGGCATCACCAAAGAAAAGCATCAGCATTTCAAGAGAGTCCAACAACATGTAAAGCCCCCACATTTGTCACAGTACTAAGGAAAAACAGGTTTGAGTGTTCCCAAGAATGCACCTTTAAGACAGTATCACTCTGCATAACCTTCTCCTACTTTAAGCCACCTGTGTTTTTGCAAACCAGTGCTATCCAGAGAGCTGTGGCACAAAGCCCCATCATTGTATTTTATTTTGTTACTTTCTCAGGCTGTCTTCCTCTGTCAGCATCTCAAACCCCTGCCCCTGGCAGTGGTTCTATTCCACCTGAGCTTAAGCATCCTGCAGCTTCTGACGGCTTGCAGCAGCAACATGAAACCTTGAGGCACAAGTGGAAAGCACACACAGAGCCAGAGCCAGATCTCTGACAGCAGCCAGCAGGGCAGGTTCAGCACTCGAGCAAGAGGAATCAGGCAGATCACTTAAATTCACTTTTAGGACTGTCTGGAAGTTTATGGAATGAAAAAAGGGGAAGGCCTATTTAATACCCAGTTATTACCTGTCTCTGTGCTGGTCTGTTCAGAGGGCAATCCTAGCCTCTCCTTCAGAGACTTGGGGACTTGAACTACAAGACAGAAAAGAAAGAGTCAGGGAGAGTGCATAAACCTCAATTTTGTGTTCACATTTTGAAATGAGACAGGACATCACTGGGATTCCAAGTTACCTCAAGCCCTCAACCAAGACACATAAAGAACCATTAGAAGAAAGGACAAACAGAAAACCTAACCCAGACAATCTGCACATCAAATCCAGATGTCAGGTTAGTGGCTGTACCTCTCTTGGGGGCTTTGTCAGCATTCTCCAGCATGTCTATCTTCTTCCCCAGCCTTTCAGTAAGGTTGCGCTTCAGTGGAATGACACTTTTAGCAGCTTCAAAGAGACAGGAAACAAGAAATACTTTAAGAACATTTATCTGGAGGAGGATTTGAGAACACTCAGCCATAGATTTCAGTTCTTCCAGGTATATTTTCTTGTATTTGCCTCTCAGTTGCTAAAACAATTTGCCATTTCTGCAGTCAGTACAGATCTCTTCCAAAATGTATTTTCCTCCTTCATACAGCAAATAAAACACCTCAAACCCAGTCACATTTAGACAAGGGCACCCAAACCACAGCTCACAAAAAGCTCTTACCTGTGGAGGCTTTCCGTTTGCTCAGTCTCTCAGCAATGTTCAGCTGAATCACAGGCTCCTCCCCTAAAACAAAGGATAATGTCTAGCACACAGAAACCAGGAGCCAGTAAAAGCATTGTCTTTCTAGCCTACGTCCCCAAAAGACACTCTTCTTGTAGCCAAAACAACACAAGTGGATGGCTACCAGTAGTAGCTCTACACCTTTTTGCCTTTAAAAGGTATTTGTGTGGATTTAAACACTACCATTTGTATCACTCATATCACTACTGTATGCAACTGCCACTGTCAGCCTCTTCAATGCTTCAGAAACTGGTTACCTGCATAACACCATCTTCTAGAGGTCTTCCCTTCCATTTGTCCCCAGTTATCCCTTCATTTGCACACTGACACTTGTTTTGACATCAACTTCTCTCTCTGCACTTAACCCCAGCACCAATCCTCTCACACGCTGTCAACACATGCACTCATTCACAAATCTCACTCAACTTCTCAACTAAAGTCAAATTAAGCATGTTTGAGAGTCTGTAGGATGGTGCTAATGTATGATTAGCTATGGCTTGAAGTCAGGCTGTTAAACACACTTCTTGATCTCTTACTGCAGCACAACTGAGCACCTACAAATGCTAAATCTTTTCCTTTAAGGACAAAAGCATGGTTTTAATGAGAAAAATTCAACCAGCAGACTAACATGTCTGAATTATCTTCATTATTAGTTAAGCTTTTGGTTTAGGAGACATGCAATGGCAATGAGAGTATTCACTGTTACCTTGCTTTGCAGACAGTGTCACAGTTCTCACTACTGTCCGTACATTCTCCTTTTCTGGCACAGGAATAGTCCGAGATTGGAGGGGATGAACAGAAATTCCTGAAGGACCTTCTGGATCAGAGCAAGCAAAAGAGAAGGATGTTTAGGAAAAGAATCCAACCAAACAGAACTATCACAAAGACCAAAGCCATTAGTTATTCATTCCTGTCAAACGTACAATGACCAGTGCATTTTTGCCTCTGATTTGCCTTTGGACTTCCAATCCAGAATACCAGCTCTCTGGACACATGCCAAAGCAGCTCAAGACCTCCAGCTAAACACGGAATTCGGGCCCTCAAGCAACTCTCAGCTGCAATCATCTCCCGTCCTGATCCCAACACTGCAAAGGGTTGTATTCCCCACTGCACAGCCAACTATCCACAGAGTATCAGAAGGATGAGAAAAGGCAGAAGTGAAAGAAATAGGGGCTACTAACTCACCACCTTGTTTTTTTGTTTTCTCCTTTAGTTTCTTCAATTTGATTTCTTCAAGCGTTTTTATTCCGAAATTCAGATTATCATCTGAAAACACAAACCAGGCTCTGAGAAACTGAGGCTGAAAGGCACACACAGAGCCTCCAGCTTCTACCAGCTCAGAACCTTCCCAAAGTGTTTTGAATAAACCCTGCCAACACTCCCCTCAAGTAAAAAAAAAAAAGCCATACAACAGATGGCACTTTGGTAAAGAATTGGCACCTTTCTCCTCCCACCTTACAGGGTAAAACCTACAGTTCGCAGTATTTTAATCCATCTACATATTAGATTCCTCTGTCATTAGATATGGCTTTCTACTGCTTGGAAGGACACATTTGCAGGCTTTGCAACTCCACTCTGTGGCTCTATTTTGTTCTATAGAAGTAAACAAGGAGGAGTTTACCTGTCTGAGCAAGGTACACGTGACATCATTAGACAGGAATGAGCTCATGGGAATACCTGACTGCTGACCCTGTGTTCTAATGCAGTTTTAGAACATACTTTTAAGTTCACTGTAAAATTCTCCTTCCAATCCCCCCTATTAGAGCTGTTGGGATACCTTGCTTGGAATTAGCACTGGATTTCCTAGTGGAAATTATCCGCAATCCATTATGGGTTTCTGTTGTTGGTTGCTGGATGGCCATTTTAACGTCATCTCCTTCTTCAGAAAGCTGGTCTGAAAAGCAAAAATAAACCTACTCAGTTGCAGAATAGGGATTAGATGGGATTTCTCATGCTTATGCAGCTCACCCAATGACATTTCAGTCCACGATCCACTACACAATTCAGGTATTCTGTGATTTAAACATTCACTTAAGAGAAAAAATGCTCACCATCATCATCTTCATCATCATCTGCAGCATTGATTACAACTGGGGGATGTGTAGGACTTGGGACATTTTCAGAGTTTTCCACTTTCATCACCCCCCTCAGCTGGGGAGAGGGATTTGACTGAACAGAAAGTTTGTTTTGCTGCAGTGACATCTGAGGCATTTTAGCATCATCTTCCACAGACTCAGGTGGACTTGGAAGTGTAGCTAGAGGAAGAGGAAGAGCAGCTCTTATGCAGCCATTTAGAACTTTGACCCCAATGTTGCACTCACTGTGTAGATATGGCAGATAATCCAGCTGACTACTGAATTCAGAGTTCCCTGTTCCCCAACCCAGGTTACACTATGAGCAAAGTTTCCCTTCATGCACAGATCTCAAGCCCCACCACCCAGAAAGGATTAAATGAGGGGAAAGCAACCTGAAAGGCAAAGATCCCACAAAGCACAGAGAAGCTGAGCATGAAAGAAAAGATTAAATACCAGAATGACATGCTGTTTAGCTGAGCACCTGACTGCAGCCTTCTCCTTGCCCTCATAAACTAGCAGTTCCTTTATGTGTTCTATGGCATTGTACCCACTCATAAGCAATACTCAAGATTAACTACTTAATCTTTCAAGAAGGACCCAAGAAACTCACTTTTGCTCGGAGGTAAGAAGAGTCCATCAACGTAACGTCCTTTGGTGTGATGAAAAGCGCAGTTGGATTTTTGGCAGCCCACTGGCTGGTTCTCCCAGTAGCAAGGAATCTCACTGCGCTTCTTCTGAGGACAAAAAGAAAGCAAAGCTTGTGGTGACACTCACCTTGATTTGCAAAGAGACATTTCCCACCACAAGTGGATCAGAGACAGGCTGTACAGTGCTGAAACACCACTCCAAAGGTCAATTTATCACTAGAAGTACTTTAGCTATAACAATTTAGCCTTAGCTAAGCTTAGCTGTACCAACAACTTATTACCTACGTTTCCTACCCAGTCTGAGCAGACAGGCACTCCCGCACATCAATTCACATGGGATAAATTAATGCAAGGTGCAAAATACTGGGATTATTCAGAGAGGAAAATGTCTTCAATTGCCTAATTAAATCTACCAAAGTTTATCTTCAGAGCCTTGGTTCCTTCCCATGTTTTCTCTCCCTAACCTGTACTACCCCAAGAGGTTACAATGGCATCAGATGAAATCCAGGGGCCACTGTGAAGCCCAGCCCTCAGGAGGTGAGTGCAGGCTGCTTGCTGCCACCCTGCTCTACCACATTTAAGCAGTCATATCAATGTGGTTGCCGTTTCCTCTTAAGAGCATAATGTCAGCACCTAATACAACAATTTCGTGCTGAGATACGCATAAGAAATTGATCTTTTCCTTTCCCAACTTCCTCCTGCCCCCCAGCATCATTTTAAAGCAATGCAAAAGCACATTCAGTCCACCTACAGCAATGGAAAACTGCTTTCAGCGATTTATTTTGAGAACATATCTTTAGGCACACTCACGTCGATTTCCATGTGTCTGAACCTGCAGATATTCCTGAAACAGCGACCCTCTTGCCAGAGTGTGCAGACTGTTTCATTTCCCAGAGCAGCTTCACAGTGGCGGAAGGAGCAGCTGTCTCCCTGGAGCCAAAAGGGAATCAAAAAGGTAAATGAAATGGTACAGCCTAAAAAAGATACCCATGATCTCAGAACTGGCAGCCAAAACTAACTGCTTATTAAGTTAACAGGAGTCTGTGGGTTTCTTCCCACTCTTCCCCCTCCTCTCTTAAAACTACAAAGAAAAAAGAAACTGAGCCCAAAGCAAAAGAAACCCAAACATACCTTGTTACACGTGGAATAGAAATAGAAGTAGCAGTCATCTCCTTGGTTAGACATAATGGACAAAGCCTTAGTATGGTTCTACAGGTTCACTCAATAGGGACTTCCTCCAGTCTTCCAGTCTGAAGCTGGCTTCACTTTCTTGGACTGAAATCTTCTACTGTCTTGATCAGTGAAATCTTCTTTTTTAAAGTAACCCTAAAGGAAGGCATCAAGTGAAAAATAATGGAGAAATGTGCATTTTTCCAGCTGCTTCCTGCTAACAAAATTAGTCTCTTAGGAGGGGGCAACATCTTAAAATCAGCTGGTTACAAAACTATCCCAATACTAAGTGAAACTGAATGGGTTTTGTCAGCAAGCATTTTCTTCTGTGTCCCTAGCAATAGTTACATGCCTTAGAGCACAAGACACTACTGCTGGAAGCCCAAGTCTTAAAAATGTGGTCATACATTTGAGTTATCAGTCAATAGTTAACTAGTAATTTTTATAAAATATAAGTGACACAGTAAGCTTTCTATTCCCATCTCCACAGATCTCCCTGTTCACATACCTGGCCAACTTCAGCAAAGAAGATACTGATCTTCAAAGACTTCCAGTTAACTTCTCCTGTAGGCCGAACCAACACTGAATCCGTGAATTAATAATAAAGGGGTAGAAAGACTTTTCCTCCTCACATTGCCAAGGGAACCTCTCATCCACAATTCAAACATAGGATGTGCTTTTAAACATCTTACAACTAATGGAGGAAGCAAGTCCATTGGAATACTGTCAGACTGGAGACAGCCAGGGTTAGTTAGCTCTTCAAAACAGGAAAACACCAAAAAAAAAGAGGAAAAAAAAACAAAAACAAAAAACCAAAAAAAACAACCCAGGGCATTTAAAGATGAACTTGTGATTCAAAGTGGCTGCAAAAATGAGGCTCCATCTTCCACAGCCGGGCAACTGCCATTTTAATTTGGTTTGGTTTTTAATTTAAAATGCAGTAAAGTTGCAATTTCTGGTCTTCAAGATTTCTTCACCTATTAAGAAAACACAAAAATCTTCCCCCATCTTTATGACCTGTACAGCAAAAAACAGACTTTGTGTGTATAAATCCACAAATATGTATATCCATACACATCCGTGTTTATACACACAGCAAGAGTGAGGGGTAACAAAGTCAGGAAAGGTGAGAGGAAAAATGTGAATTTTGGGCTATGTGCCACAGAGGAATGCAAACAAAGTCTCTCTTTGGAGGGAACTGGCAAAAATCAAAGATCTACGGAATATTTTGATGACTATGCCTTTGAGGCTGATGCTTTTAATAGAAAGAAATATGGAATAGGAGTGATCTGAGGCCAGCACACAAAGATGCATAGGTCTGTACATGCATACAGTGGAAACACACACACACGTGCACAGTACATGTTGTATGATATCCGAGTGGAGAACAGCTCTGAGCCCCCATCAGCCACGTCGAGTTGCAATCAATCACCAGCAGGAAGGCAGCAGGTCAGGGTATGACAAGCTCTGGGAAGCAGGGAAATGTTCACTTGGCCAGTGGCATGGCTGCATGATACTAACAATTTGGAATTCCTTTGGTTTTAGGAAAGAATTTGTTTTCTTTTCATAGCAGAGCAAACACTATGAATTTGCCATCATATGCTGGTCCCTAATCCATATACCCATCATTAGCCACTGGTGTAAGATCATGGGAGGCTTGGAAAGATGACTTAGGTCCAATTCAACAGGGATGATTTTTTGGTGCCACCAGAGCTGAACTGATTTTATTTAGCTACAAGCAATTTGTTTTTTTTTTTTTTTTAATGTGAAGTCAGATGCTGTGATTCTTATTTAAGATACTAAATGCCACAAAACCTGCAACCAGACCAGATAAAGTTCAATTTTAAGTGATTCTGACCCCTTTCACTAAAATGCTGCACACTTCTGTGCAAAGTGTTTCTGAGCCTTTTGGATAAAACTGAACGAAATAGTTCTTACAAATTAAGAATAAAAGGTTGGAACCTTTTTACTCACACAAACACTAGTGAATTTCCCAGGATAATTTTTTTTTTTTTTTTTGCAGGGAATTTTCCCAAATCTAAAACAAAGAGAGCAAAAGTTGGGTTCTCATATTAGTTACTGGGTTTTGACCGCTTGACAGAGGGAATAAGAGCAGTGGTTAAGTGCAAGGGCTTCTTCCCTTCCTCAGTATCGATGGGACTATTTGCTTTTGACCTTTAGCACCTTCCAAAACAGACTTGGTGTCATACAGATCCCTGTGCATCTACTGCTAAAAATTACTGGTGCTCCTTCATGGAGAGCTTTGCCAAGAAGCCTTTCTCCAAACGTGTTCCAAATACCATTGATAGTTCAATGAGATTTCAAGCACGACTCCCGAGTCTGCACAAGCCAACAAGGAAATAGATGGCAATTGAGGACCACTGCTTTGCTGAGCAGAGCCATTCAAACACAAATGGGAAGGAATTCACAGTCTAGAAGCATTTCTTTTCCCTAGGATGTGAGGGACGCCTGTACAATGCAACATTACTTTATCCACCACCATGGGGGAGAAAAGAAAACCCCTTGGAGCAGCTCAGCACTTTGCTTGCTGCCTTCTATATTCCTGAGCAGACTTCAAGAGCTGTTCAGAATGTGAATGGATCTTGTTTAAGGAATGGGAAAAAAGCAAAACTTTAAAAGAAACACAAGAGAAAAACCACCAAATTTCCCACCCACACACACAAAAAAAATTAAAGAAATAATCCTTTCATTTTAAAAAAGGTTAACTTAAAACCTCTTCTGGTTTCTTTTTTTAACCTTGGAGCAGTTAACACACACCCTGAGCACTAAGCAGAGATCAACTGAACTAACCCCTGAAACTCTTGAGTACAAATGAGTAACTCTGGAGCACTCAGCAGGTCTCTCATGGAAGCTGATGAGAATTTTAAACCCTTTTTTTTTTCCCCTCCAGAAATCTATCCAAGATTTTGTTTGAAGAGATTTTGAATTCCTTTAGGAAAAATAAAAGAACTACAGATGCAGTAGGGGTGGGGGTCAGGATTTTTCATGTCAACAAGTACTATAAAGTCTACCTTTGACCAAGGGAGGATAAACGTACAAGGAGAGTTTGTCTTACAAGCCTGTCATTCTTGGAAGTGAAGAAACAGCCCTACTCCCTGGTCTGACCCTCCAGCTTGCTGCCCTGCTTTTGTCCTGGATCAAGGAGCAAGAAGGGAACAGGATGGTTTGGCACTCCAACAAATGCATGAGGGAAGTACTACTGCACCTGCCTATGGGCACTTTCTGGTTATAAGGTATGAGGTATTTCACTTGGACAGTCTCTCTTGCTGCTCTACCTTGTGCCTTTAACCTCTTAAAAGATAATAAAGATGCTTAACACCCGTGTTTGTTAGAATAACTGGATGACAAGGAAGGAGGAGCACCAGGAACTGAAGTGCAGAACAACCTCTTGCTACAACATCTCACTCTCTCTGTAAATCTAAAGCTTGTTTGTCCAAAGCAGAATACTCAACATTCCTACTCTTTACATTTCTTTTAGTCAACTCCAGCTGTTAAATGCTGCCTAAACATGGATTGCAGGCATGTGCTGAGTGAGGGTGACAGCACTCAAGAGCCTTGCAGAGCAAAGACCACAAGGCTGCCAGCCAAGAAAGCAAAGGTGAAAGCAGATGGATTGGCCCAGCTTCCTCTGCCACCGAGTCAGGATCATCTTTCATCGTGATCTCTAAAAGTCAGAGCCATGAGTTGTGGTGTGAGTTACTACTACTGGGAAGGCACAGCTGCCCCTCACTAGAGCAATTCTGTTTGAAGATGTGCCACTTCAGGGATCTGATTGAGGACATTCTTCCTTAAAAGAGGCAAATCACGTCTGTTCCTAAAAGATCTGACTGGCTGTCAAAGAATAACCCTGAACTGAATACAGATGCAGAAGGAATTATTCAAAGCAAGGATCTAGTGATGTGGCCAAGACAAAGCATTCAGATCTGAGCTCTGTAAAAGAATCGGTTTCACCCATCTCCCAGTCCAAGAATGACAATAATACCTTCAAGCTGAAACTTTCTACACGCTCTGCAAAGCTAGAAGGACTGATGGCAGCGGTTGATTAAGAACTATAGTTCTCCACTGGCCTCTACCTGCAGGCCAAGAATCCTGCACCCATCAGACACTTGGGACTACTGGAATGAACTGAGAATAGCCCCATTCTTCCTCAGGGAAGGATGCTGCTCCACCTTCTGCTGGTTTAAAGTCACTTTAACACATAAAAGGTAATGAAAGGTTCACTGAAGAGCAATTTCCTGCTTCAAGTGATCCTGTAGAAGATGGTTTGAGTGCTGGAGCTCCTGAAGAATTTGGTGGGCCTTAGCAGCATGAGCAAGGAAATCTCTTAAGTGCCTGCTAACCTGTTCTCAGTGCTCCTGTGCTCAAGTCATTAGTTTTAACCTAGCACTGTGTGCACAAGCTCAGTGGTGTTGTCAGGAGCTGGAAAGCCAGTAAGGGATTAAGGGAAAGCCACACATGAATTTGGTAACTTGGTTCTTGTAGGACACTTCCTACTGCACAAGTTTCAGTAAAGCCAGGGGGAAGGAGCTGCTTTCTAAGAAGGGACTCCTGGTGGTGCAGTGTATCCAAAGATCTCCAGTGGGCCATCACTGTCAGGCTGTTCGCAGTTGGTTCAGGGTCCACATATCAACAGTTAAACGTGTATTTTTGTGCTTTGCTTTCTCCAAAGCCATGGAAAAAGTTTCTTCTACAATGCCATACGGTCACATCAGAGACAGAACTGAAAGGTGTAGCGCTAAACAATCTGTATGAACTTCTAATAAGTTGGCCTTCAAAAAGAGTATCTTCAATACTGAGTTTTATAATAGTTCTATCTGTTATTTAAGTGCATTTTTGTATCTGAGCTCCTTCAGAGCAGCATGAGGTTGAGAGTCTTGAGTCCCATGGCCAAGATTCATGTCTTTTCTCCTACCAAGCACACATTCAGTAGGCAAAGACGGAACAGGAACAACCAAGCCTGGAGATGTTAAAGCACAACTACGCCTATCTTAGCTCAATACATCACCTTCACAGAGCAAAAATTCATGAGGAACAGCTAAAAACCCAGAAGTGCTTCCCAAGTTTCAGGTTACCAGCAGCACCATCACAGAGGTCCAGGACATATGGTCTGCAAGCGTTGCTCAAGTCCTGAGGCAAGTCCCTGTTCAACAATGCAAGGGAGTGTGCCAGGTATGCTGGGGGTCAACTGAGAAGTTCCACACAACAGATGCATTTGTCCTAATTTCTGGCATCAAAAGGCTTTCGGCAGTATTGCTTTCATGAAGTAAACTCCCTCTATCTTCTCCAGATGCTCCAGAATCCACCACTGCTGCAACTGCAACGGCTGTGCCAGTATGAGCCATATCCATGGCCAATCTCTTTGACAGCTCCCGTTTCCCCAGGCACATTTGCAGTCCACTCACCTCCTCTTCCAGCTGAAACACCAGCCCACTGGCTCTGCCACAGCATCACTGCCAACATGAGAGCTTCGAACACACATCAACCTCCCGCTGCTAACACCCCTGTTAGCACATCATCAGGGAGATGGACCACACACTCTGCATGGAGATGTCACCAAGGAGTCAGTGTCCCCAGACAAGTACCTGGCTTGCCATGGATGGTGTGGGGTCTTTTTGTGTCCCACAACTGAAGTTTTTGCTCTTGTTCCAGGCAACCGTGGGTGCTTTAACAGATTGTGGTCCATAAGGAAGCTCCTTCCATCCTGCTCAGACACCAGGCATGACAGCAGCACACACAGGTGTAACAGTACCTGCAGGTCCCAAATCCCTAACTGATTTTTACACAGCACCAATTTTTAATGTGGTGGCTTTCCCTTAATGCATAACCCCTTCCTTCCTATATTTTTAATGGGTGGCTCTCTATTATTCTCTCTGTCCACCAGCTTTTCTTCCCAGCTGTCCCAATGGCCATCAGGAATCAATTCCAAACCAAGGAGACTGCTAAAGCTGCTACAGCAGCTCCTGGGTGAGACTGGGATACTTAGAAATAGAGAAAGAACAAGGGTCTTTTAGCTGAAACCAACACCAGGCCCTGGCAGCAATTTACTGTGATGATTCATCTCCCTCCCCAAGTGTTGTATTAAAGCTCAAAAAGAACCAACTTCCCCTGGAAGCAGCCATTTGGAAAGGTGCCATTTGAGCTGAGAAGCGACAGCAAGAGGAAGTTTTCTCCAGACTGGCTTTCCTCCTGGAACACCTCACTATCCAGCAAGAAATCCAGCCTATCTATTCAGTTTGAGCATTTTCAGGTGTGTCCAAATTCACCCGGGTGCCACAGTGGTGCTTCTGATACCCTTTCAACCCCCCCTGTCCTCAGGAGATCTTCTTTTAACAGTCAAATAACACAGTGGTTTAGATTAGAAGCACGGATGGCCCAGAGCTCCATGTCAGCGTCCACCCCAGAACACCAGCTCTGGGAACACTCCATGAGCCCCCAGTACTGATCCCTGCAACAGCAAAAATCACTTTCCACTTGCATTATGAACATCAACATAAGAAAACAGAAACCTCTCGGATCCAATTCTTAACAAACAAATATCACCCAACTGGGTTCTTTTAAGCAACCTAAAGGAGAAATTAAGATGACAACCGGGTGCATCCAGAGTTAGTCAGATCCTGAAGGCAATTAGTTCCTTTAGGAAACGGAGGAGCAATTTGTCAGATGACTACATTACAGCACGCCCCTTATACGCATTGCTACAGAAGGAAGGCACAAGGGTTTAACTGACAAAAGCATATATTTGTAAAGCACCTGCACTGGGATCTTCAACTCGAACAACCGAACCCTCCCGGGGCTACCCAAGCTTTCCATTTCCCGGGGGACCACCGGCACGGGGCGGACGGGGCACAGCCAGGCCCTATAGAAGGGCTAACGGCGGAGGGGAGGGCCGGGGTAGGGAACAGGAGAGCTGCGGGCCTGTAATGGGGGAGCGGGGCCTGGGGCCTACCTCGAGCACAGGGGAAGCACTCCCCGTCCCCAAAGTCCCGCGGCGCCGAGGCCGGGGAGAACGCCTCCTTCCCCCTCCCGCTGCCTACGGAGAACCCGAACTGCCCCAGCACCCCCCTTCCACTGCCTACAGACACCCCGATGTGGAGGGCTCAGGGCCGCCCACCCCGCCGGGCCCGGGGGCCGCGGCCTGCTTCCTCTGAGGGGAGCGCAGAGGACCCGGTGCTGGTGAGAGGCCATTCCCCAGCCCCTGCGGTCTACGAACGGCTCTAGTTACCGGCGAGCGGGGACTTTACCGAACCCCAGGGGACAGCCTCTGCCGCCGCCGCCGCCGCGTCGCCTCGATCCGCCGGGGCCGCCGCTCGGGCTCTTGCCTTCCCCACTGCCAGCCTCAAAGATGGCGCCGGGGGCCAGGGCTACCTCAGCCACCCGCTGCCAAGATGGCGGGCGGAGCGGCTTCACGCCCGCCACTTCCGGCCGCTGGAATCGGCTGGGGCGGAGCTCCGCCCACTGAGGCTGCACAGAGGGGCGGGCGGCGCCGATAAACAAGGCGGGCGGGCAGGAAGCGTAAACAGATAAGCGGGCGGGCGTTTTTTTTGCCCTTTTCTCCTCCGAGGAATCGCAGTGTTTCCTTTAGCTCCAGACAAATCCCTTCGCCATGGTGGGAATGGGATAATTTCTCCCCTCCCCTCCTTTCTAGCCCGGCTGCGGTGCCCTGCACCCGGCTTCCAGTCAGGGTGTGTGGCCTGCCCATCATGGCGCCAGGCTGGGGTGTCTGAGGGAGCCATCTCCTTCCTTGTGGCAGTGCCTCACCTCAGAGCTGCTCTTTCCAAGCTGGACACTATTATGTTTTAAGCCTCTTTTCCCAGTGCTCACCCTGGGCCTTGGGGACACCTCTGAGGTCCTGGCAAAGGAGGGAGGTGCATGGGAGGCTCCATGGTAGCCCATAGACCTCCACCTGCGTCCCTCAGCTTCCCTCCATGCTGGTGTCCTGGGTGGTACAAGAGGGCATGGGCACTGCCCACAGAAAGCAGGGCTGAGGCTGCACAGGGAAGCTTTTCCACCATGTTCGTGTCACCCAGCTCCACAGGTCGGTGTGGGCAAGGTTTGGATTGAGCCCCATCCCTTCAGGCTCCCCCAGCTCCATCTTCTCCTCATGGCTTGGCCTTGGTGTTACTATAGACGCAGAGGAGCAACCAGCCCTCCATTGAAGGCAGGGAGTCAAACAGCCCCAGTGCAATCAATACGTTTGGGAATCAAGTGTTTCAGGGGGGTTATTTCCCGTTGTCCTTCTTATGTGGGCCTCTATGGAGGCACAACAGTCCCAGCAGGGAGGGGGGACATGGCTTGAAGCCGGGGATCACAACTTCCACCATGCAGCACCTCAAGAGGTGCCAGCAGGGAGGGGGACTAGGGTTAGGGTTAGGGCTCCAGGGCAGCTCAATGCACAGTCCAGCCACACTGGTTTGGATGTCACTTGACAGCCGGTGCTGGTCTTTGCTCAGGGATGGGATGCTTTTGATCCCCATCCCTCTTCCCACCCCACGGGCCCCACTTCCACGCTCCAGCTTGCTCCGACGGGGAGCCCGAGCATCCTAAGAGAGGATGTGGGATGGATTTCACAAGCTGGTGGACACGCATCAGGTACATGTGGGCACATTTTATTCTCTGGATGCACTTGCGCAGCGTTTCTGCTCAACAGCCAAAGCTTTATTGATTCCAAACCAGGACCCTTCTCCCCCCTTCAGATTTCTATGTACCCCCTTTCCCACCCCTCAACCACTCTTTTGCTTCCATTTGGATTATTATCCCTGCTTGGAGTCTGTTGTCTCAGAAGCCACCAACTGACAATTCATTCAAGTTTGGTTTTTCTCCCCGAGAACCATATAAATTACATGCAAAACATTGTACATAGAGATTAATATCAAAATGCATTACAGATCAGGTGCACTTGAAGCTGGACTCTAGGATATGGCAAACACACCAGGGTACATATTGCTTTGAAACCACCATTGTTTTTTGTTTTAATGTCATGCATACCACGTAATAGTCTTTTGTTTTGTATTTTTGGGTTTTTTGTACAAAAATACCAGTGCTTATTATACTTAGTTACTGGAAAAGAAAAAAAAAAAACAACTCAGGTCTGCGTGCCCTCTTCAAAAGAAAGGTTTGTTGTGAGAGCATTGGATAAATATATATACACACACATAAATGTTGATTTAATACTGTATATATATATATATTTATTTAAGGGGAGGAAATAAACTAAAGGCAGTTTTAGCCATGGGCTTTGCTGAAGGAAACCTCCATTCTGTTGTTGAGCAGGAGGATAACAGAGGCAGAGCCCGAGATCAGCCCGGCTCGGTGGCAGGGTAGCAGAGAGATGCTGGAGAGGAACAGCCAGGCATTGCCCTGCAGGTAGGAGAGTGGTCCCCCCACGTCACCGAGCCCCACTGGGGAGAGCTGGGATGCAGGAGGGTGGTTTATGGGTTGATAAACTTGAAGGAGCTGGACCAAGCAGCGAGAAGCGATGGCAGACAGGTACATCTGTCCTGCGCCAAGAGGTACAAAGCTTGCAGGGACTCTTCTTTGACGTGCTTGGTCCCTGCAGGAGGGCAACGGCATCCCTGGAGCTGGGATGGGGGCTTTTCCATTCACCCCAATGGCATGTCACCCCCGAGAAGCATTTCTGAAGGGGCTGAGCACTACAGGATGGCTACTCCTCGACTGGGGAAAGCCAGAGGCTGCCCATGCTAAAAGTTGGTTTAGTTTTTTTCCTTCTTGAGATTGTTTCAAAATTTTCCTCCAAGCTTATTGCACAAAAACCTTTGAAAATGAAGTAAAACCCCTGTGCAAATCAAAGGAAACCTCACCACAGAATGCAAATGCCTAAAAATGCCGGTTCAGCAACGCACACAGGACGTGGTGTAAATGTCTTTGGTACCAATCTGCCAATTTATTTCACATTAAAACCACCACCACCAGCGACCCTACTGTTATTAAGAACTGGATGCAAACGTATGTTCAGAGTGTTTTAATAACAAAGCATTCCAAGGCAAGTTAACACGGAGCACAGGGTATGACTTCGGTTCCTGTCAGGCATGGCACTCTCCCCCCGTGCACACTCGTGGCAGTTCAGACAAAGCAGAAAATAATAATATATATATATATATTTCCCCCTTTTCAAGGCATGTTGCAGAGAGTCCCCACAAGTTCATGCTGCTTGACCATGCCTTTCAATGTAGAGCACCAATCTCCCCCAACTCTTTTGTAGCATCCTCAATAACTTAACCCAATCTGCTGCCAGTATATCACAGAAACTAAATAGGAAACATACTTTACAGGGAAAAAACAAAAGAAGGATGTATGCACAATAAACGTTGATACTTTAAGCAACCAGCCATACCAACATAATTTATATATATATATAAAAACCCCATTTCTGTCATCCAACTAACATCTAGTATAAAGATGGCTGCTTGGAGAAAAGGAAGCTGACTGGCATCCGCCTGTGAACTGCTGTCACACAGCCACGCGACTCAAGGCTTAGTTAGTTTTTTTTTGTCTTTTAAACAAAATACATATGGCTGACGTAAAAATATCCATTTCTGAGCTAAAGAAAACTATATTTTTTTATATCTTTTTTTTTGCATAATATTTATATAGAATTCTTCTTTCTCCCCCCCCCAACGTGGAAACTAGAACAACAAAAATAGATCAACTCAAGAACAACCAGACCCTTGTGGCAACCTTCTGGGAGTGACTTTGAGAGCCTCCAAAGTTGGCTTTTTGTTGTTGGTTTAAGTCTTTGCAACAGGTCTGAGGTATTAAAAAAATATCAAAAGAAAGAAAATCGGTGCAATTCCCCCCAAAGTATTTAATAAATATTTCTGTGTAAGAACACCATATTTTCACCTTTTTTTTTTTTCTTTTTTTCTCAAATATTTAACATAGAAAAAAAGTGATCTTTGAAGCAATGTCACCTTTAGTACAGCCCCAAACCCCACAACCACCCCTTTTGGCTCTCCTGTCGCCACTTGTGGGTAACCCCCCCCTGCCCTGCCCAGGGTAGGTCTCAGCTCATGTATGGAAGGAATGGGGAGGGCAGGGGGCTTGACATTGAATTTGCAATTGAGATGGGCAGTGGTGGCAATTTCTTCTTGCTGTTGGCAGTGTAGAGCCCAGCCTTCACCCCCTTTGCCAGCACCGAGCCAGGACACCTGGGAGAAGGACCTTTCCTCCGGGCAGGAATGGGGTGAGCTCGTACTTCCCTCCTCCCACCCCAAGGAAGGGACGAGTCGGTGCTGGGCTGGCAACAAAACAAAGACACTTGGTTTGTGTTGGTGGTTAAGGAACACTTATTTCTTGGCAAAGTACTGGGCCCTCGCGTGGCAGGTGGTGCTGCAGGCAGTGCTTGGAGAAGGCACGGGAGATTCTGCTGTGCGTTCAGAAAGGAAAGGAAAGAAGAAACCAGCCAGCCCCACCTCTCACTCAAAGCTCTCTGCTTCCAGGGATGGAGGCTAGGCAAATACAATGATGTTGTACAGCCAGTTACAACCACGTTCTCTCTGCTTCCAACCAAGCCAAGCAGGATGAAGGAGAGAAGGCAGCGGAGTTTCCTCCAGCCCTGCCTGCCTGGGGCCGGTAACCAGGGGTGCACCAGCAAGGGGAAGAAACTAAGCCTAAGCAAAGCAAACTGCTGCATCCTGCTCAGTCCCATGGCTTCACAAGAGGGTCAAGTTCAGAGGACACTGGGGGCCTCTGGTCCACTAAAACAGGACTCCTGCCAAATAGTTACAAGAGACCAAGGTGAGGCAGGATGCAGGGTGAAGAAATGACCTTCAAGAAAGTAGGAAGTGAGGCAAAGCCTCCATGCAGCACCTTTGCTGGAAGACCTGCAGCTAACCAACCAACCAACCTGCACCTCGGGCAAATCAAGGGTCCTGCCATGGGTGCTAGAGCCTCCTCCCCTTCCACTGGCTAGAGCCTGAACCTGACTTACCCCTTCCACAATCGAGAGGTTGACCCACTGGAGTGTCAATAACCTCATGCTTGCTCTCCACTCAGCCTGCTAACGCTTGGGCAGCGATGTGCAGAGCTGGTGCACATGGCTGGAGCATCCTCTGGGGTTCCTCAGCAGTTAACCAGAGCTTGTACTCCAAGGCAAAAGGATTATTTAACCCAACAGTACAGACATGCCAGAATGGGCAGAAGTCCCTTTGCTCTTGCTGGCAGGAGCTGTTCAACCTTTGCAAGGCTCTCCCTTTCACAGCTCTTCAAAAGCAGAAGAGATAAATCTCTGAAGACTCCCCAGGAAGGAGCCCTTCTCACAACCATGGGTTTTTTCTTCACCACCCTTCCACTGCCAATTCACCTCCACCTTGCTTTGTAGAGAAACCAGAAGCTTTTACATCCAGCAAGGTTACAGCCAAGTCACCTTCAGTCCTTATCTACCAATGACTGCTTTGGAAACAGAGAGAGGAGTGTGTGCGCACACACATGGAGGAGGAACTGCAAAGGCTAGGTACCATTTTCAAGGTGGAAGACTGGTGTATACATCCCTGTATCTGTCAAACCTGTGAGTAAACACCTTCCCCTGGCTGGGTTGGTTTTTCATTTATTTGTCATTTCTCCCCCACTTCCCACTGTGGAGTTCTTGGGGGCAAATCCCACAAGCAAAGAACAAACCCCAACATTAGAAGAAAACCCTAAAAACCACAAGTGGAGAAAAAAAAAAACCTAAAAGAAAAAGAAGAAATAAAAATCAAAGTCACAAATGCTCCCAGCCCTGAGGCTGAGCACGTGTGTGTAAGACTACAAGAACTTGAACTTCCTTTGAACATGCATTTTACAACGTGACCCCCCCGCCCCGCAACAACAGACACATGGAGCCCAACTCTTGGAGAGGAAATAACCTGGCTGCTTCACTTGGGCTAGTACCACTGAAAATGAGGGATGGAGATGCACAAGTTTGGCTTCGCCTCTCTCCCAACACCCAGCATCGTGGTACTCTGGTTCCCACTGCTAAATAATGGTAAAAAAAACAACAAAAAACAAAAAACCCAAATCAAAACAACCCCCCCCAAAATGAAACACCAAAATGATATACGTATGAGCAGTTTGACACGAAGTGACCGCAGTGTGTGATCAGTTACTGGTGCCGGTGTCACACAGGGCGAGAGGCGAAGGTGGAGGAGGAGAGGGGGTTCAAAGTTCTAAGGTCAAACTGATGTCTCCAAGCTGTGTAAGGGGCTTTCGGGCTCCGGGACGGTGAGCTCAGCTTGATCGCTGTCCACTGCATTGTTATTTCTGTTGAGGGGTGTAGATCCACCCAGGATACCCCCACCTCGCTTTTTGAGTCCGTCAGTCTCGGGGTTGTCTTCAGCGCCGTCAAGGAATGGTGTTCGAGGCTCGTCTTCCTCCAGGATGAACTCTGGGTGAGTCATGAAGTTATGGATGGAGCTTCTGGATTCGGGTTTCTCGAGGCCTTCGTACAAGGAGCTACGGAACGCATTCACCACTTTGATCTGCCGGAGGCGAGGAGCGTGGGGGATAAACAGAAGAGGGGTTAGTATCTGCTATGAGGGGCCAGAGCTCCCAGGAGAAAGGCAAAATAACTCATAAAGACACAACAAAAAGCACAACAACAACAAAAACAACAAGAACCACCACTGAGCAGACAGCTAAGTCGAAATGAAACATCTATGGTGAACTAGGAGGGCCAAGATGGATCAGACTCAGGCACTAGGTGTGTGATGGGGAATCAACCGACTATGGGGCGACTTCAGAAGCTGCAAGAAAAGACACAAAACAACTCAAAACCCACAACCAACCCCCACATCACTTCCAATGAACAGAAGCCAAAAGGCATTAGTTGTCATTATGGGTGCGCACGCGTATCTGTGTGTACAAACGAGGACAAGTGGAACTACGACTCAAAAAAGAGGTGGGTTAGACAAACAGCAGAAAAAAAAACAAACTACTGTGGGAGCCGTGTTGTGTGTGTTCTAGTTTGGGTTTAGACCTATAGAAAGGAATGGGCTTCAAAAAGGTGTCACAAACTTTTCAAGCCCATGTGAAGCAGCAGGTCCAAGTGGATGCCATGAGCACTAAAACTGGACCCAGCTAAGCATGCAAGAAGGAAGCCAGATCTGTGCGAGTTTGCCCACACGGCTGCCACCTGGATCCTGGGCTGGAGCTCTGGATCCACCCCTACATGCTGAAGAAGACCCAGCAGTTTCCAAAGGCCGTTGTTCTTTTGGATGCTCTGCACGAAAAATCAATCTCAAACTCTGCTAGAAAGCCTGGCCACACATCCACAGGCTGCCAGCCCTGCCACAAGCCAGACTCAATGTGTTCCAAGCAGATCCAGAGCCCAGTTTGGACAACCGGGGTATGGCTCTGCTACCTCCATAGCACTGGAAAGGAGAGGTCTGGAAACAAGCAAGTGGTGGATTCACTGATCCCTCCATTTGCTCTGGAAATCCAGCCTTGAGGCCTCCAGCTCTCGCCCTCCCTTGCAGCCAAGTCACAGTTTGGATGGATGGGTGACAAGCATCAGACCCAGTGAACAGAGGGGCAGGAGGTGGCAGCACCGTGGGGCTGCAGCAGAACTCTCTACCCCAGTGCAGCCACCGGCATGCATGAGCCAATGACTTGTGCATCCCAAGTGCAGCAGAGCTCCAACTGTCCTGGGTGAACTGGGGCTATCATCACTCCAGAAGACGCCAGAAGGCATCAACTGCAGGAGGGCGATGCGGTATGTGGGGCTCTGAAGCAGAGCTAACAAACCAAGCAGCTCAGGGTCTCCCAAGGGAACTGGGACATCTCCTGCCTTTCTAGAGGAGGAAGCTACTGACAACATTGTCAGCAAGCACGAAGCATCCTGCACACACTCTCATGTGTCTTATGACAGCAAGAGAGGTCATCTTATGACCTGTTAAGCAGAGGTCATCTGGGACCAGGAGATCTGCTCCACTTCTCCTCTGGGAAGGAAATGCCTCCAGAACACTGTGAGACTTTGTTCAGCATCACTGAGCACAGCAAGGGCATCGGTAACACCTCCCTGTAGCAGTGCCAGTCATCCTGCTCCATCTCTTGCCCCGTGGAAGCAGCAGGAGCTACCTTCATCTGCTCTCAACACTCAAGGAACCCAGTCCCCACTGTTTTCCCTGCGTGGCATCCCTGGGGACTGAAGCTGGGGTGCAAAACGGAGGAGATCACACATCCCACAAAAAGGATGCTCCTCTGCAGCATCCCTAAGCTACACCTTGAGAACCTCCCCATCACCCAGCCACTGCCCAGGGAGCACAGAGCTGCTGATTCAGATATCCCCTTGCAAGGTGACAAGGCAAATAAAGATGTTTGTTCTGCCACTTCTTTGTGAATGGGCTGCAGATCTGGTGGGTGAACAGAGATGGCACCCTTCTTCTTGGTGAGATGAGCTGGGTTAAAGTGTCCACCTTGGTCTGGTACACAGGCAGGATAGGAGGGAAGTCACCAACCAGCACAGCCAGCAAGAGCCTGCTGGGGATCTTTGGTATCAGCACAAACAGCATTCACAAAACCAGACCAGAGAGATAGCCCAAGGAAGAGTCTCATGCCTGGATCCCTGGAGGTTTTACCTGGGAGATGCTCCAGGGCTCCCCTCTCAGGAGGGCTGAATCCAGTCTCCATCTGGCTCAGAGATGGTGCTGCCCTACCTGGGGCAGCAACGTGGCACCCCCAGGCACAGGCTCAGCACATCCCAGCTGGAAACAAACACACCGGCTCTGCACACACCAATGGAGCTGCACACGCACACATGAGCTGGATGACAAGCACTCATGAGGTGATGAGCGCGGGCCAGGTACCCCCCGGGATGCTGGAGCACCAGCTGGCCTGCAAAAGTGAAGATTTATGTA